ATGCCAAGAAAAGTTATGCTTATCCACAATTCTTCTTGGCAAACACTCTCATGCTTGTAACTAAAACCTCAGGATGAAAAATACTCAAGCTCATTGTGGCTCTCAGGCCCACTATGCCGTCCTTCCCCGTAGAGATGGAACTTAAAGCTTGTAGCGGGGGTGTAGATGGTGGTGACTGCACCAGCTGGCGAGTCTATGATGCAGCCAGGACTTGTGTTCATTTCCATTCTCTGCTTTTGCCCTGTTAAAGCTGTGAGCCATATGTTACAGCAGCTCAATCTGCTCCAATTAGACCTCACAGCAGGTCGCAGCAGTGGCAGGACAAGATGGCATGATAGTAGATTACTGAATCATCTGCATAAATAGAGGTTTGGTTAATGGCGGCGGGCGGTGGAAGAAGGAGGGGTCAGGAATGTGTTCTTGTCTTTATGACCCCAATCTATTTCTCTATTCCAAAATCAAAATGTCCAACGTTACAGAGAAACTAAAACAAATCCAGCAGAGAACTAAAACAAAGAAGATTCTCTGTGTGAAGAATTATGTTTCCAGCCATAATTGGACATGAAAACAGTGGTGGCAGTCTGATGGAAGATGGCCATAGTGTTAAAAACACAGCCTTCCCTGTGAGCGAGAGTGAAAACACGCTGGCTCTGAATCATCTTACTGTGTTAGATGTTCCTGCTTTCAAGGTTACTTCTTTCACTCACTGCAATAAATGCAATGTACATCAAATAAAACAGATCAGACTTTTTCATTTGTAAATCAGGCACCTGCCTCTTCCTCTTCTTCTGGACTCTGCAGAAGCATTAAAGCCCTCTGTTTCTATAGCTAATCAATGCCAATAAAAACAACACTGCACTGTATACTGCTGCCTTTGATTTTGTAACAATTTTTTAGGAGAGAATTATGTTTTATGTGATCTTAGATTTAGATAGTATACTAGAGACCACATGATTTCTACACTATAAAAATAAGATATTGCCCTTGCGATATCTCTCATACTCTTTACTCTTTACTTGGAGACTTTATAAATGCCTTAAGCAATTTGGGACTTACCTCCAGCCCAAGGTCCTTGCTAATTATAGAATTTCAGATTTATTTCTAATGCACTGGAAAGGATAATAGCTAGCCAATTAACTGTGTAACTCTAAAGCAATGTGGTATTCAAATATTTCACCCTTACATTTAGGTCATTTCACAGCACTACGAAAGCACTTTATTTCAGTAATAAATGGCCTGCTGCATGCAGCATCTACGATTCTCCTCTGAGTTGTACTTCTATATGAATGCAGCCTATGAGTCTCTGGCAGTATACTTCTATTTTGCCTTTTTTTGCTTCTTAAATGTGCATTAACTTGTATTTTTGGGATGGCTACTTGGTGGCAGCGCAGAAATGAGCTGTAAACATGTCACTGACAAAAGTTGATGTGGCAAACATGTCAGGAAACAGTTGCCTATTTAGACAGTGCATGTTTCTGGCTACCTGATGAACCTAAGTCTAATATTTACTCTGCTTTTGGCTTTATTTTTGGTCTCCAGTTACTCCTGAGAGAAATATGGGGCACCAAAACAATCCTAACAGACACAGAAACGCGCTGTAGAGCTGAGTGGAACTGCAGAGTAGTGCGGTGTTTCTTTCACATACGTGGACTCACATGATCCATTGTTAAAGGTTCCCTGTGGAGGGGTTGACCTGGTAGAGGTATGAAGCTGTTTTGCTGTGAGTGGGTCCCTGTTGTGTTTATCAGCGCACGGGTGAAGTGAGACACATTCCTTGAAATGGAGTCTCACTATTCAACTGATCTACAGGTGATCTTGACTCTGTTGGTCAGGAAACGCAACCATTTGCATCCTTTCTTCTTCCTCACCGTTTACCCATTGATGGTTTTGAGCCAGATGCACCTACATGTTGATTGCCGCTCATTGTTGCAAACTGAAAACGTATTCATCAAATCTAATTCATTGATGGGACAGTCCCACATCTCCTGTTTTGTATAGCAGCCATCCAGTCTGTTCTGTAGCTTAAAGGATCATTTTTCTAGCGCTGCCAACTTGCCTAATTTAACACACTAAATATTCACAAAGGGAGCTGATGCAGACTTCCAGTCCTCTCAATTAATTTTTGACATGACATAATAGCTCTTTGTATCCACTTTCCCTTGGGCAGGCCAAAATCACAGAGAGGGAAAGTGTATCAAAACACATACAGACTAGCTGAAAAGGGAAAGTTTAATTTAATAACTAACCAGTACCTTCGCGTGGGGGATGTTATCGGCCGATTCTCTGCCTATATCCTGGAAGATAACTAACAAGAAATTGCAGCACAAGGATGATGAAGATATGATGGAAGTCATTTTGAAACAGTAGCACCATTACATGGTTTGTCCACCAGAGAGCACTGACAAATGTTGTTTTAAACTATAAAATGTCCCCCATGTACATTTTCTCAGATTTTTGATCTGACTTCTCTCCTCCTCAGGAATATTAATATTATAATCAGCGTCCCATTTGAGTTTTTAGTGAATAAGGATTAGGGTCTTAGCTGCACTGGAGCATAGAGTAAAATTAAGCCTTCAATGCACTGTCCAATAGTGTATTGTAAGACTAATGGCATCCTCACTCTGAGGGTAAAAATTGCAGGAACGAAACATTTGGGTCAGCTGTGCCTGCAGATATCGCCTGAATGGAACTTTAGGAAGCTCAATAAATTGTTTTAGTGTCGCCAAACAAAAACCACTAATACATACAGACTATTCTTCCTCAGTGCTTGATGACCCTTAATGTTTATCCTTGGCCGTGTTAAACTCTTAGAATCAATGTTTCCTAAAAGTATTCTAATGACACAACACTTGACCTTGCTGTGACTGTTTGCAAGCAACTGAACTCATATTAAGCTTTCTTTCATCTCTTATATTACGAAATCCAACATATTTCCTGACCTGCAATTAAAAACTGCAAGAGGGGAGGGGGGGTGCTGCTGCTGGATTTGCTGTCTCATCATCCTCTGTTCATCTACATGCTCATGAACAAATGAAGCGAATGTGTCGTTTCATCCCAGCTCTTTGTTTGACCTCCTTTAGCTATAGTAAAAAAAAAAACAGTTATATAGCTTTAATATTCTGATAAACATATTGATTCTAGAGTCATTATGGCGCAAGGTAATGCAAGGATTCACATCAAATGAAAAGGATAGCCCTCGGCTGGTACGCCATCCTTATTAAACTTTTAACTCAATGCTGCAGGCTATGTTTGTAGCATTCTAGGTACATCATGCTATATCCAAAGTAGAAGTACCCCTTAATATATTACATTTACTGTGCATCAGTGTAATGAGATTTTAAAAAAAACTATATCTTATGATACCTTGAAAACAGCTCTGTCAGTTGGATATATGCTCTTGCTCACACCATCTACCAGGCAGTCTGTTTACTCTAAACCTCTCTGTCTGTCTGTCTGTC